TTTTAATCATCCCACACAACTAAAGAGTGTTTATTAACAAGGATATATATCAATAAAATATAATTCAAGATGGAAATACAAACTTACCATAAAAAGTATGTAAACTAAGCTAAAGGACAAGACTAAGATAACCCCATAAATATATATTTCGTGTGCCCGCTCATACTTCGCCGCCTCGAAGAGATTTAAGTGTTAAAGACTCCGATCCTTAGTCAATAGTTTTATTTTATTTTAATCATCCCACACAACTAAAGAGTGTTTATTAACAAGGATATATATCAATAAAATATAATTCAAGATGGAAATACAAACTTACCATAAAAAGTATGTAAACTAAGCTAAAGGACAAGACTAAGATAACCCCATAAATATATATTTCGTGTGCCCGCTCATACTTCGCCGCCTCGAAGAGATTTAAGTGTTAAAGACTGAATTACTCCAGGCTTCATCGCTAAAAACTTTCTTTATCTGAACTGTAATTCGACATTAGCAGTTGAATGAGATGCTGGGGCAATTTAGTCATTACAGAAAATTTGTCTTATGAGGACATTATGTAGTCATCCTTTGGTGGGGCATGCATTAGTAACCGTCCGTACTTCAATTTTGGTTGGTATGGCATGAAATATGTCGACATGAGCTTCTATTATACTTTATATTATCGGGAAAATTGCATAATTGGTCTCAAACTTATTTATGAGATTACAACTCATCCTTAACCCTTTTTAACACAATAACCCCAACCAACGTGTTTGGTAAAAATGATCTATAGTCGACTAATAAAGGATAAAATGATCTATAGTCGAGTGGATGGCCCGGTTCAATAAGTGGTAGGAGTAGGGCTAATTGATAAATGTTGTAAATAAAAATCAAATCACCAGTTTCTGAAAATAGGAGAGAGGTCTTAAAAATATAATTGATAATATGATATTTTAAGTACATATTTATATACAATTCTTTTAGGGAAAAAAATCAGATAAGTATACTGATGTCACCAAAAATCGTACCTGTTGATTTTTCGAGTTTAAGGACTTTGGATGAGCACGACTGTGGCCTTCCGATACCTAAAACACAAGCAACGAGGTATATTCTCGTCGCCCCTCCGATGCTTAAGTCAGAAAGGAATTACGTGTGTGAGGCTATAAACTGGAAATAATGAAAACGTACCTGAATAATGGTCCAAGGTTCTGTATTTATAGAGGTATATGGTGATTTCCTGGTAGGATATAACTAGTTAGATAGTCTTATTCGATAAGAGTCCTATAAGAAAGTAGTGTTAGAATTCCACTATGATTAGAAGACAAATTACTATCTCCAGGAGGCCTGTCTTGGGTTCAGGAGATGTGGGTTGAAGTGTATGTGTCATGTTAGGGCTCTTAGGAGGTAGGTCTTTTCATAGCTTGAACAGAAAAGTGGTCGAGATGTTCAAGGGGATATGCTTGAGGTATATTCCCGAGGATATCCATGTGTTTGGGGATTCTTAGTCACATAAATGTGATCGGGAATAGGGGGTCAATCCCGAGGATTCATTAGTATCCCAAGCATAAGTGAGGCACAAATTGTGAAATGGGTCTACCAAAAGGGCTCAGGGTATGTGGAAAATGTCTGTATCATTGGCCCTCGTGCACCTATGTTCGAAGCTTTCGCTCAAGGATAGGGTGTAGAGAAGCCCGAAGGCGAAGAGCTCGAGGGAGTTCTTGAAGAGAGGGGTTCTGTAGGGCTACGTGGTACTGAGGTATGCCCTAGATAAGAAAAGGCAGTAAAAAATGATATGGGCTGGATACAGGACACGTGGCCAAATCTAACGGTCAGGTTAGTGACTTTTGGACTCTCTTCTTTTGTTGCCTATAAATACCTTGTTCGATTTTCATTTTTTACTTTTCACTCCCAGTGAACTTCTCTTGCTGATCGTCGGGATTCGAACTTTTGTGGGTTTTTAGGCGTCGACTTTAAGGTAAGACCTCGAGATATTAAGTTATTCTTTAGACACTTTTTTACCTAGGTCAAGATGTCTAGTAGCAGTAGTGAGTCTTCGTCCTCTTCCTCGAGGAATTCTCCCGAGGATAGGGGGCGCTCGATCATACCCATGGTCGTGCCCATTAATGCCCAACCTCAGGCACAAGGTATCTCGACTCCTTTTAGATACCCCGACCTTCCTTGTAAATTTAAGGAGCATCTAGCGATATCGATGGCTAGGGAGCATGGGCTCATGCTGAAGTATGCTATTAGGACGCCAGGAGGTGAGGATAGGATGGCCACTGCTCGGGATGGGGAGATCGTAATTTTTAGAGATTCTCTAAAGGGTGGATTTAGATGGCCCCTGCACCCTTTCTTTGTGGCTTTACTAGTTGAGCACAACATGAGCCTTGGACAACTTGTGCCTAATAGATGCATGATGCTTACCTACTTTTTTATAGCTTGTAGATACCTAGGTATTACACTGTACATCGACCTTTGTAGAATGGTCTTCGATCTAAAACAGTCACCTCAATAAACATGTTTTGCCTATCTTTCATCTCGATGAGGTTTCAGGATACCAAGGATGCCAAGTTCATTAAAGGGGTGGAAAGAAAAGTGGTTTTATGTCATACCTCAGGATTCTGACCTTCTTTTTAGTCCTAGGTGGGTTTTGCCCGACATGGCTAGGTGTTGTGAAGGTCAGGCCTATTTTGAGTCTTTAGAAATGGATAAGGAAATGTTAGAAAACCTTGAGCCTCTTGTTTATGATATAGGTGACATCCTGGGGGATGATGTTCTCGATCTTGCAGATGTGAAAGGCGTTGAGGGTAGGGACCATACTTTTGCCTTTTTCCCTCATCGATCTGTCTTTAAATCTATAATTATGCTCAAGCTAATGACTTGTCTTTGCAGTGATGACTTTTGATCCTTCAGCTCTTCGACAGGCTGTGAATAAGAAGTCAAGGGCCCCTCAAGTCCGAGCCCCAGGTTAGAAAAGGAGAAAAAAGAAGTCTCGTGATTCAGGGTCTGGGACTGTCAGGAGTGGGCTTGGCGAGCCTTCTTCCAGAGGACAATCCCCGACCATTGGGGTAGTAGGTGATGAGCATGAAGCTTCGCTTACTACTCCTCGGTCAAATCCTCAGTCAAGGAGTACTCCCAAGGTTGTTGACCTGGAGGATAAGGCCCTTTTTGTGCCTTCTTTTCAGAATCGAGATCCTGATTGGTGTCCTCTGGTGTCGAGCATTGTGGACAAGTATCGAAAGGACCTCATCTTTGACGAGGGTATGAAAGCTCTTGAATCCCTTACGCTGAAGGTAAGCTCGTTCATTTTACTTGTGCAAGTTAAGGATTTCTATGGATCGATCATTAAGCTCGAATTTTATATGTTACAGACACTGAGTATCGCCCAAGGTCTTTCTCTGAAGGGGAAAGATAAGGCCCAAAAAACTCCTGAGCTCGAGGATTCTGCTCGGGCACGTGAGCAGAAAATAGTTGACATGGAGGCTGAGCGCTTTCTTCTTCAGAAGGAATGTGATGACACCAAAAAAGACCCTCAAAAGGCCCGGGAAGAGGCTGGGATGGCCAAGGATGAGGTCGAGGATTTAAAGCTTGAGATCAAGCATTTGAAGAGGGATTTTGAAGCTCGTCTGACCGAAGCTAGGGGCATTGCCATTGAGGACTTCAAAACCTCCGAGGAGTTCAATGGGCTGAAGGGGGAGTATACCATGTGCTCGTACTTAAAAGAGGCTCGGACATTTTTTGCCCTTGAAGCCTGATGCTAAGCCCGAGGATTTGAAGAACATCCCAGAGGTTGCTGAAGACCTCGAGCTTTCAGAGTCCGAGGAAGCCACTGACGAACAGGAGGTCAATATTGATGGCGAGGATGTGGGGGATGAGCAAGGAAGCCCGGCCTTGGGAGAAGGAGCCGAGGACTTACACTAGTTTCTGTTTTCTTTTTATTTTTGAATACTTTTGGCTCCTTCACTTGTACTGAATGATGATTTTTGCTTTAATTCAATGTATTCTTACCGAGCTTAACGTGTTCTCTTATTATGCTATTTCGATTTTGTTTTGCTCGAGCTTTAAGTTCGTTTGAGGACTGAACTAAATGGAGTGACAATCATATAAAGCAAGCTCGACCCCTAATCGAAAATATATAAAGGGTGAACTAGCTTGACCTCGAGAGTTAATCCATATGAAGTTTCAGACAAAGGTAATAGCTCGATCTTAGGGTCATTCCTTAATATGAAAAATTATCTTGAGGACTAAATTGTAAGAAATGACAATTGTAATCGACGTACCTCAATCATTATATTGGGGCTAACCTGACCTGGCAGACAAGTAACAAGCTCAATCTTAACCTTGGGTCCATATCCCGAAGATTTTGTTAAGCATAGATCGTACACTCAAAGTAATTAAGCTCGAGCATTACGTCACCTTTGATGATTGATCTTGTTCTCATGTTCCTGAGGTCTATGGAAGTCACGATCTATGAAATTGTGATTCTCGAGCTCATTCCCAAGCACATGTTGGGTCTTGTTAATGAGTTTTGTGCCCTACGTGCTCAAGATACCTTTAGTGCTCAGGTATTTTACATTGTTTGCCCTTTTGGGTATTTTATATGTGCTTGCTCGAGGCAAGGCTTTGAGTGTTTGCTCAGGGCAAGGCTTTGAGTGCTTGCTCGGGGCAAGGCTCTAAAGTGCTTGCACGGGGAGGGCAAGGTTTTGATGTGCTTGCACAGGGCAAGACTTTGATTTGCTTGCTCTGGACAAGGCTTTGAGTGCTTGTTCGGGGCAAGGCTTTGAGTGCTTGCTCGAGACAAGGCTTTAAAGTGCTTGTACGAGACAAGGCTTTGATGTGCTTGCAAAGGCTTTACCTGTAATATAACTCCATAAATGGACTTGGCACGCAAGCCTTATTAATGATAAAAAATAGACTTGGTACGCAGGCCTTATTAACGATAAAAATAGACTTGGTACGCATGCCTTATTTCTAAAACATGGTGAAGCGAGTTACTTGTAATATACCTTTAAGTCTTCGACGTTCTAAGATCTTGGGAGCGGTCTTTTCGAAGTATCCTTTAAACTGAATTCACCTCCTGGGAGCCGTCGTATGACTTCAAAGGGCCTTTCCCAAACTGGTCCGAGTTTTCCCGGAGCATGACCAGCGGCTTTAGCCCTTCTCAACACCAAATCTCTAACTTTAAATCTTCGCGGCCTTACCTTTCTATTAAAATGCTTTGTTGTTCTATCTTGGTAAGAGACCATTCTTAAAGCTGCCTGATCACAAACTTCTTCCAAGAGGTCGAGATGTTCAGTGGTGTGCCCTGCTTCTTCGAGATTAAGTCTTCTTCGGCTGGGTAACCTTATTTCAATGGGAATGATAGCTTCGATTTTGAAAGCTAACATGAAAGGGATCTCCACGGTGATGGTCCTGTGGGATATTCTGTATGTCCAAAGTATGGAAGGCAACTCATCGGACCAAGAACCTCTTACATCTCCAATCCTTGTTCGGAGGTCTTGTAATATAATTCGATTGGTGACCTCGGCTAGAACATTACTTCGGGGATGAGAAATTGACGTCAGGCAGTGGTCAACACCTAGGTTGGAACAGAAATCCTTGAATTGTACATTGTCAAGCTGCCGGCTGTAATTAGTTATGAGGACCTTCGGTATCCCGAACCTTCATATGATGGACCTCCAAACAAAAACTCTTATCTTAGGCTCTGAGATCCTTTCCAAGGGCTTGGCTTCCACCCACTTGGTAAAGTACTCAACTGCAACAACTACAAACTTCAATTGTCCCCTAGTTATCGAAAACGGACCGAGGATGTCAATCCCCCATTGTTCGAACGGGGCCGAGCAACTAATGTTGGTGAGGTCCTCTATGGGAGAGTAGATAACATTGCCAAACCTCGGGCACTTGTCACACTCCTTCACATATTCTACGGCATCTTTCTTCATGGTAGGCCAGTAATACCCGTATCTTATGAGTTTTAAGGCTAATGCCCGAGCTCCTTGATGGTTCTCGCATACTCCTTCATGAACTTTTGCTAGGGCTTGGGAGGATACCGAAGGCTTAAAGCACCTAAGGTACAGAAGTGTGAGGCTTCTGCAAAATAAGACCCCATCAATAATGCAATACCTTGGAGCTTTTAACCGGTCATTCCTTGCTGCTTGAGGATCCTCTGGAAGATTGTCATTTGTTATGAAATCCACAATTGGGTCCATCCATGATGACTCATGATCAATGTCCATGACCTCAATGGTTGGATTGATGTTAGTCTCGGTCACAAGTCTGATATGTATTGCTCTGTCAAGTCCATCTACTTCCATGAACACTAGCCTTGATATGGCATCTGCCTTGAGATTGTCAGCCCGGGCAATCTTCACAATTTCACACCTCTTCAATTTTCGTCAGAGATCATGAACTTTTAAGCAATATAAGCTCATTTTTTCGTCTTTCTTCTCGAATGTACCGTCAATCTGGCCAACCACCAACTGGGAATCACTAAAAATTTTGATGCTTTCAAGTTCGAGATTAATGACAAGTTCCATGGCTATGATGATAGCCTTATACTCCACCTCATTATTGGTTGCCTCGAATTTGAACTTGAGTGCACACTGAATGTCAATGAGCATGTCCGGGCCTGTGATGATGACCCCAACACCCGAGCCTAAGGAGTTTGATCTCCATCCATGAAAATTTGCCAAAACATTTGTTGTAGTGCTCGAGCTCTCATCTGGCCCCCGAGGCCTTGGGATGAGTTTTGCAATGAAATTCGCTAAGCCTTGGGCTTTAATGGACAGACAGGGTTTGAACTCTAGGTCAAACTCTCCAAGTTCAATTGCCTATTTTAGTAACCTGCATAAGACGTCTGGCTTTTGAAAGATGTGTCTTAGAGGCCGATTAGTGAGTACCATAATGGGATGAGACTGAAAATATTGATGAAGCTTTCGCGTTGCCACTATTAGGGCAAGCGCAAGTTGTTCAGCCAAAGTGTACCTGGTCTCTGCATCAAGTAGGACTTTACTTATGTAGTAAATGGGTTGTTGGGCTCTATTGACCTCTTTCACCAAGACGCCGCTTACTGCGTTTTGAGACACGGCTAAGTACAATAACAAAGTATCCCCGGGCTCTGATTTAGTGAGGATAGGAAGAGACGTTAATGTCTGTTTGAGCTCTTGAAAAGCCTTTTCACACTCTTCATTCCATTCAAAGGATTGGCTGCCTCTAAGAACTTTGAAGAAAGGGAAGCTCCTGTCTGCTGCTCGGGACATGAACCTATTTAGGGCTGCTACCCTACCCATTAATTTTTGCACCTCTTTCTTAGTTCTAGGCAATTCCATTGTTGCCAAGGCTTGGATCTTATCGGGGTTTGCTTCTATCCCCCGGTGAGTGATCATGAAGCCCAAAAATTTTCTCGAAGCTACACCAAATACACATTTCTTTGGGTTGAGCTTCATCCGATATTTTCATAGGGTGGCGAACACCTCTTCCAAGTTAGATATGTGCTACTCTACCTTCTTGCTCTTCACCACCAAGTCGTCGACGTAAGCCTCGATGTTCTTTCCTATCAAATCAGTGAATACTTTGTTGATGAGCCTCTGATATATTGCCTCAGCATTTTTCAACCCAAACGGCATCTCCCTATAGTAGTATATGGCTTAATCAGCCTGAATGAAGTCTCTCTTGGTCATCCTCAGTCATGAGAATTTGATGATACACTGAGAATGCATCTAAGAAGCTATACAACTTAACGTGCTATCTACAAAATTGTCTATCCTGGTGAGTGGGTAGCTGTCTTTAGAGCATGCCTTATTGAGATCTATAAAGTCGATGCAGACCCTCCATTTGTCAGTGGCCTTCTTCACAAGAACAACATTGGTGAGCCAATCGGGGTATTAGACTTTCCTTCTGAATTCCGCTCTCACCAGTTTGCCGACTTCTTCCTGAATGACCACACGTCTTTCTGGCGCAAAATGTCTCTTCCTTTGCTTAACAGGTTTGGCCCCTGGGCTTATGCTGAGTCTATGGACTACTACTTCAGGGTCTATCCCTGTTATATCCTAGACCTTCCATGCAAAAACATCGATGTTGCGGAACAGATAATTGATTATTTCCTCCCGAAGGCTGGCCTTGAGATCCCGACCAATAGTTACCATTTTTCTATGCTCGAGCTCGACCACTTCCAATTCCTCAACCGGGGCAAGTCTACCCCTTGGCTCAAGCTCGAGCTCGAGGTCTGAAAGTTGCATGACGTCTGTACTCATTCCTTGGATGCTAGTAACATAGCACTGTCTGGCAGCTGTTTGGTCTTCTCGAACTACTCCGATGCCATGACCTGTTGGGAACTTCATAGCCAGGTGGAAAGTTGATACAATGGCTTGGATCTTGTTCAGTAGGGGTCTTCCCAGAATGATGTTATAAGCCATAGGAGTGTTAACCACTTGGAAGGGTGTGATCTCCGTTACTTGTGCATTGTCAGAACCCAATGTAAGTGGAAGCTCAACAATGCCTTCTGGGATAATGACTCCACCACCAAATCCTTGTAGATGAGTTTTTACTGCTTTCAGCGGTTTAGGAGAGATCCCCATTTTAGCGAAAGCCTCCTATGAGAGTATGTTTGCTGCACTCCCATTATCAACTAGAATCCTCTTTACTTCAAAGTTAGCCATAATTACAGAGACGACTAGGGCATCGTCATGATGATATGATACTCCTTCCAAATCATGGGATTCCATTGAGGTATGAGCATGTCGATAGGCATATTGCGTTCGCCCATTACTTGTGTCTTCTCCAGATTCTATGCCTCCAATGATAATATCAATGGTCCCGGCAGTGGGCTGAGCACTGTTTCCGACTCCAAGCTCTTTCCGATTGTCACGGTCATTCCTCGAGCGTTTAGCATGATCAACATAATTCCTTAAGAGCCCTCTTTTAATGAGGGCTTCAATTTCCTGCTACAAGGCTTGACAATCTTCCGTAATATGCCGATGATCTCGGTGAAATTCACAATACTTGCTCCTATCTCTTGTGTCAGAGGGCGACTTCATTCTTGAAGGTCATTTCAACTCTTTCATATATTTGATCTCCATTAAGATATTTCCCTTGGAGAAGTTCAACTGAGTGATAGGCCCTGGTGGCCCTTCATTTCTTGTGTTTTTCTCGAGGATACTCTTGTCGGGAAACGGGATCATGTTGCTTCTTGCTCTCGGCCTTTTCATGGGAAGGACCAGATCTCTTTGCATTCAGCATTTCCTCCATATTAATGTATTTTTCAACTCGGGTGAGGAGCTCGGTCACTGTTTGTGGCGAGGTCTTTGATAAGGACATCTTGAAGGCTTCACACCTTATTGCGTATGTGAGGATAGAGATAGCCGTCGTAATGTGAAGGTCGAGTATTTGGAGTCTTTCCTTGTTGAACCTCGTCATAAATCCTCGCACGGTTTCATTTGGTCCTTGGCGAAGTTGCATGAGAGAGGCCGCAGTCTTTCTGATTCGCTTGTTACTTGCAGAGAAGGCTAAGAACTTATTAGCCAAATCTGAGAATGAGGCTATGGAGTTGGGCTCCAATGTTGAGAACTAATCCCTAGCAGCATTAGTCAGCGTTTGCGGGAAGGCTTTGCACATAACTTGATTTGGCGCAACTTACAAATTCATGACATCGGTATATACATTAAGATAGTTGATTAGGTCGGTCATCCAATCATACTCTTTAATGCTAGGATATTTGAATCTGTCGGGCAGGGGATATGATAATATCTCCGGCGTGAATGGAGTGTTAGGGGTAAAACCCGTTGGCCCCCGAGCATTTCGTTGCAGGCTAGCTGTAATTTCTTCTTGAATGATCCGGGCAATCTCTCCGAAATCCATAGCAACTGATCTCGAGCCCGAGGCCATATTATGAATACCCGAGGTTCCTACTCGGCCAGTTGCGGGGTTTGGTGGTCGACCTCGAGCATCAGTTATAAAACCACCATGCTCTGCCTGCACTGGTGATAGATGTGAATTTCTTTGACTTAACAGCTGTGGGAGCGTGACCACCTGCTGACATAGCTTTTCAAAGGCTTCAGTTGTGGTGACCGCTAGCTGGGGTGTGAGCACTCCTGACAACTCTTCTTGAGGAGCCGGTTGATTTTCAATAGGATGAGGGATGAGAGCGGATGAGCTTGCGGGAGGAAGACCTGATCGCGTGTTAATCATGGTTTCTGGTAGCGTTTCCCACACACGGCACCAATGATGCTACCAAAAATCGTACCTATTGATTTTTCGAGCTTGAGGACTTTGAATGAGTACGATCATGGCCTTCCGAAACCTAAAACACAAGCAACAAGGTATGTTCTCGTCGCACCTTCAATGCTTAAGTCAGAAAGGAAATTTTGTGCGTGAGGCTATAAACTGGAAATAATGAAAACGTACCTGAATAATGGCCCAAGGTTTTGTATTTATAGATGTATATGGTGCTTTCCTGGTAGTATTCAACTAGTTAGATAGTCTTATCCGATAAGAGTCCTATAAGAAAGCGGTGTTAGAATTTCGCTATGATTAAAAGACCAATTACTATCTCCAGGAGGTCTGTCTTGGGTTCAGGAGATGTAGGTTAAAGCGTATGTGTCAGATTTGGGCTCTTAGGAGGTAGGTCTTTTCATAGTGTGAACAGGAAAGTGGTCGAGATGTTCAAGGGGATATGCTCGAGGTATATTCCCAAGGATATCCGTGTGTTTGGGGATTCTTAGTCACATAA